GTAGAGAGAGAGAGAGAGAGTACTTTTTTTTCATACTGAAGTGTATTAATTTTAATCCATTAAATGTAATTTTACTGAAAACATAAACCGCCAACAGCACTCAACAAACAAATTACCAACGACTCTAAAAAGATATAGAATATCGTAACAAAGATACGACTTTTGTGGGTAAACAGAAATACCTTAAAATGGTTAAAAAGAAATCTTAGATTAAATAAACTTGAAGTCTTAAAACGTGATATTATGATGACTTGATAAGTTTCTCTCAGCAGTCACTCTGCCATATTGTGTAAAGCTCTAGAATACAAATTTATGGTTAATGGTTATGTTTTATTTTATAATAAACGAAGACCGTTTTTAAATAAGTTAAAATGTCAAAAAATAAGAGGATTTTGAAACATTAATCTACTAAAACGTCTGGATGCAGTTCGCGTCTTCATTGAATCTCAACTGTTTTCGCGCCTAGGGGTTCTTGGGTTGTTTATTTGTTTTTAAATTTCGCGCAAAGCTACACAAGGGCTATTTGCGCTAGCCGTCCCTAATTTAGCAGTGTAAGACTAGAGGGAAGGCAGCTAGTCATCACCACCCACCGCCAACTCTTGGGCCACTCTTTTACCAACGAATAGTGGGATTGACCGTCACATTATAACGCCCTCACGGAAGAAAGAGCGAGCATGTTTAGAGGGACAGGGATTCGAACCCGCGACCCGCAGATTGCGAGTCGAGGTCCCTAACCACCTGGCTATACCGGGCCCCAGCAAGAAATAAAATAAGGAACTGTACTCTAACTAAGTATACTTAATAGAATGAACTTCCATCACAGAATACGCACTAAGCTGGATAAAATTGTACCGTTGTTTATAAATTATATAAAATAACTTTCAATACTGTCAACTGAGCAGCAATGTGAACAATATAGTATTTGAAATTATTTCCTGAAGCCACGTCGGAGGTGACTAGCAAGGACTCCCGTAAAGTAGCTTAAAGCTATTAGTAACTAAAAGTTTTAACATTTTATAGTTCTATTGAAATAATTTATTTGTTCATTCATTTACGTAATGAATCCTAAAAGATGAAACGGTTTTAAGAATTTAAGTGTATACAAAAATTGATACTTACTAGTTGATGAAACCTTTTTACACATGACGCTATTACTTGCTTTCAGGACCATCCTTTATTGACAGTTATTGTAATATTGAAAACACTATGCAGAATTTATATTTAAAGTTCATAATACTTGGATTTTTAGAGTTGTTTTACTGATGAAAATTTAAAAATGTGTTTTAAGTTTCAAATTCTTGTTATTTCTGCTTGGTAGTAACAGGTAGAAAAAAGGGGGAAAGGGAAAACAATATACAATTATTGGGCAGTAGGTGGCACTCCTAACTTCTGGAGTAGTGGGAAAAAAATTGGCAAATACAGCTGAGAGAAGTTAAGAATGGCGAACAGGTGAGTTAAAAAATACTCCAGAGTTTAATACTTTAGTATTTTAATGTTTCCATAAAACATTTTATAGAACACGCAGCAATCTAAGATTATAACTAAAATAATATATTTAAAATTTTTTAATAACTAACTTACTAAGTATAACTTAAAAGCGTGTAAGTATATTACATTTAGTTTTACTTTTACTACCATTACTTTCATTAGCACTAGCAGCGTGAATATCACTCTAGTATCACGTGCTTATCAGGTGATCAGAGTTAGATATACGTTTTGAACGAATGTGCAATAATAATTAACGAAAAAAGAAAGAAAAAAGTCAGATGAAGTTTCTCAATTTCAACAAAGAACGAAATAATTAAGACACATAGAATTACAGCTTAGGAAAGTTATGGGAGGACTTTTGTAGCTTTTTTCAGTGCTATAAAAAGTAAAATTCTAAAGTCTTTAATTTTAATTAAATTGAAGTAGCTGAAAATTTATATAAAATATTTGTATAATAAGGTTGATGTTCATATTCCAAATAATACTAATAGTGACTGCAATTTGCAAATTTAATTGACTTGTAGTTGTATCCAAAAACTGAAAGACACCAGTAATTATGCCATTTTTATTTTACTTTAAAACTAGTTTATACCAGTATAGCTGATGATGATTTCCAATACTTTTCTTTTTGTATGTACCACAAAATAGTTTATTAAAGATCAACAGCTGAAAAAGCAAAACAAAAAAACTACAGACTAACAGTAACAGTAAGGTCTAAGTGTGAAGTTTATGCCAGACATAAATTTCACTAGCAAATTTTTGTCTGTGAAATAAAAAATGTTCTTTATTTTATATTGGAAACTAATTCTGCATCAAGTTTTTTTTTTTTAACTTGTTGCATTTTTTGAAAGCAGCAAGTGCATACAGAGGTACAAATGTAACAGTAACTTCATGTGGATTTGGAATTTTAAATTATTTTCTTGAGTTTTTCATAAGTATTATTTATTTTATAATCTAAAAGCTTAGTTCTAGTATTTTTTATGCAAAAAATGTTTTTTTTTTAATATATATCTAGTGCTTACTTTCCCAGTGTTTTATTGTATAGCAATAATTGTACATAGGATTTTATTTCCTCAGGATTTGTTTATGATGAATATAATTATTCAAAATAATTCCATGGTTTATATAGATCGTTACCTGGAAGTAAGGGCCAGGCTTTCATAAGTGTACGTATTTCAACTAGACAATGTTGAAAAATAAATCTTTTCCTATGAGTATGATTTATACAGTTCTTGAAAATATAACTACTGAAAAACTTTGTGCCAAAAATCAAGCACTTGGGCTACATTTTGTCATATTCTCTACTTTGATGAAGGTGACTGCTGTTTTTCACATGTGTTCTCCTTTACCACATTATACTGTACCTAGATTAAAAAGACAAAAAGTAAAAAGAAATTGTAATAATGTTTTCCATCTGCTGCCTTTTGTCTGTGATAATATTTCAGTTGCCGACTTTCTTTACCATCCATTCTAAACATACAAATATGAAGCCCATCACCGAAATGCATACCACCTCTGTATATTAGCAGAGATAGGTGTAGAAATTAATGTGATCTCTTTTATATTTTATTTTGTATTAGACTACTCCCACAGATCAGCTATACAGTTAGAGGTTCACACGTGTTATGTAATCCCACTTTCAAGGACTTTTCTTACAGAAAAATAAGTTGATTTGTGACTAAAAGATTTGAAATCCACCCTATCCTAATCATCTGTACATGGTGGAAACTAAATATGGTGGGAAAAGCATTATGCACTCTATATATATTCCCCTCTGAAACAAAACTGAAGTAAAAAATTTCATGCAATTTACTCTTACCTTTTCAGTTATTGATAACAACAAATATCTTAGATATGATATAATTTGAGTATCTTCACCAGATACATGTGTAAAGGAGATCACGTGCTTAAAAAAATAATTTTATTACATAAAATGGACATATCCAAAGTATCTCTTGATACCCTGTGTTTGGGGTATAATCAAATTTAATTATACATTTCCCGAATTAAATTTAGACTCTAATCTTTTTCGTTACTCAAAAATTTGTAATTATTGTAAAAGAGAACACATGATTATGACAACATGTTATTTTGGATAATCTTATATGTGAAAAAGTAACTGGAGAATCAAGTAATAAATTTTCAAAGCATAAATGTTTACTAATTAATCACAATAAAGGCTTGAGTCACACTTACAATTTTTTTGTTTGTGTTATTGCTTTGAAACTAAATTTTTCTGCTGGTGACATGTTACTTTTAACACTCCACCATTGTTTATTTCCTTGGTTTGCTCGGAAAAACTTAACACAAACTCAACATATTATATACGTTTGGAAAGCTCAGTCCATCGTCTATCTTTTAGAAATTATTATATGTTTATATAAGGTATGTACTCAGAAAAAGTTGCCCCATAACACTGGCGACACCAAGTTGGACACTTAAGAAAGTCTGACCCTGACTAGAGCATTAAACTGTTGAACTGAAGCATTTGTATGTGTATTAAGCAACAAAGATAGATTTGTTACATTGTACAATAGAGGGTTAAAACACTGTCTGCTTTTTTTTGGAAAGATTTAAAAGTGAGTAAGCCATGGAAGTATGACACTATATCACCGAGATTCAAATAATTCTTGCGTCACTTAATTCATTGCATTTTTATTTTCAATAGATAGCAAGGGCCTTTTTTTTGACCTAGTAGAAACCCGACCCAGATATCCGAAATACTCATCCAGTCTCTTCTTAAACTCTAAGTGTTCTACCAAAACTTGAAGAAAAGATGTTCCACAGACAAATTGAATACTCTGTTAAAAAAAGTAAAACTGCTTTAACTGGAGTCTTATCCACGTTTTTTAAACTTGTTTTCATTTATTATTGTTGCTTTCAAATTTTTTCAAACATTATCTAGATTTATCAGTTCTGAACATCAGTTGCACCCTCCTCAACCTTTCTTCTCCGCAACAGATACATGTCATAAGATTTTAAAGAAGGAAGAAGAGGTTAAAATCTTTTGACATGCATCTGGATGTGGAGTTGTTGGAAAGGGTTCAGAGAAGGTTCCAGGTTTAGAAGGAAGAAAAGGTTAAAATCTTTTGACATGCATCTGGATGTGGAGTTGTTGGAAAGGGTTCAGAGAAGGTTCCATGTTTAGAAGGAAGAAAATGTTAAATTCTTTTGACATGTATCTGGATGTGGAGTTGTTGGAAAGGGTTCAGAGAAGGTTCCAGGTTTAGAAGGAAGAAAACAGATGTGGAGTTGTTGGAAAGGGTTCAGAGAAGGTTCCAGGTTTAGAAGGAAGAAAAGGTTAAAATGTTTTGACATGTATCTGGATGTGGAGTTGTTGGAAAGGGTTCAGAGAAGGTTCCAGGTTTTAGATACATGTCAGAAGATGTTAATCTTTTTTGCCTGTTAACATCACCTAGATCTTTTTTTTAAAGCATGTTTTTAATTGCAGAGAAGAACTTTAAAGGGACATGACTAAGCTTTTTAAGATCCTGAAAAAGAGGACAAGTTTAAGATATGGAAAAACTTGACACAGTTCCAATTAAGGCAGTGTTACTTTGCTAATAGTATGGTTGGTCTATAGAAAAGTTTGTCTCCAGATGTGGTAGAAGCTGCTTTATTGAAGGATTTTTAAGAGAAGTTTGAATGAAGGTTCAATAAATCGGGTTTGGATATAGGAAAAAAGTTTCTATGTATAGTTTGTAGTAGGCTTTTAGTAGATAAAGGGATGGCCTAGATTAGCCAATGGACCCTTTATCTGTTGTTTGATAACCAACATGCATAATCTTGTTATTAAAATTAAAAGGCATCTTCGGTATCTGATGCACTGTGGTTTATCCATTTTAGAATTTTACCACGATTTGATATTATCAGCAAGCTATCTGATTAGATCAAAACCAAAAACTGACCCAGTAAATAATGTAGTTGATTTAAAATATTAGTCTAACTAAGGGTAATACAATGTCACAATTTCTTTATAATAATATAGGATGCATTGATTTATCAGTTAGATACTGTCACTATTGATCTATTAGCCACAATCACAATATCTCGCATGGCTCAATTAAATTAGGAGATATCGGTTATTCCTAAACCCACATACTAAGGTAAGAATGCAAAACTTAATTCAGGCTTTAAGTACATTGTTTATTAAAAACAATTATTGTTTTTTTTTCAGCATCAAATCTTCGATGCCACCATCACAGGGGGCAGCAGTGAAGTTGCGAGCTGCAACGTATCTTTCCCCTAATATACCCGTAGAATTCTACGAAATGACGTTGAATTACTTGGAAAAAGCTCTAAATCTACACACCACATTGATGTATGAATCCCGTTGGGAAGGTCCTCCACCAGACAGAGCCGATCCATTTATTGAAAATGAATTGGACTTAGGTGCAAGTCCCTTTACTGACTACACATCGTATACGAGTCGTACACGACTTACATAAGCTTGAAAAATAGCATAAATATTTTATTTTATTTAAGATTAGAAAAATTTGATTCAGTTAGACATTTTTATATACTTCTCAATAGATCATGTCCAATAATTATTTGCTTCAACAAGGTTTTTTTTCATTATCATATTTTTTTCATCATGATACTATAGAAGTGGAAATAAAACTTGCGTATAGATATAGTTTTTTTGCAAAAGTTTTTGACATCTTGTAGTCCATTAAACTTCATATATTTGTAGTAATTTACAAGGAAATGTTAATGGTATAAAACATGGGTTATACAGATAAGAATATTTAACTATCAGTTATTATTAATCTGGTTCATGTTTTTGTTAAAAAACATCTTGAAATGTTTTGTAATGAAATTCCCATGATCTAGTTTTTTTTGCTAAAATTTTGTACAATTATTTCGTTCTTATGCAGTTAAGAATATTAATTAATAACTTGAGAAAAACCCTGTAATCCAAGTTCTTTCTAAAGGTGGACCTTCCTTCATCTGTTTGCCCCTGAAGAAGAAAGGTCCACCTTTCAAAAGTGCTCGGGTTACAGGATTTTTATCATTTTATATTAAGACATCTTGAACCTATCTGTTTTTCTGATATCATTAATAACTTGTATATTCGCAAAATTACTACAGGCCGTATAAATGTATTCTAAGGTTAGAACACTGTGTGTACTTCTAATGAAGCATTTACTTGATGGATTTGTGCAAAGTTTAGATGGGCTGGTGTTTAGTCAAATATCTGGACTCTTTGTATATTTCAGCTTGGATGAGTAGTACCGTGTACTTAAGGATGCTCGAGAAAGGAAACAAGTATATTGAACTTTTGCCCGTGTCTTCAACCCACCTTCATCCACGAGGCGAAGACCGTCCAGGATATTTTGCTGATGTCATCATTCACAAAGACTTAAGGTCGAGCACAGTGCTGTTCTTTTAATAATTTCGTATTAATTATTCTTCATGTTTCTTTACATACTGGAAAGATTTAGTACTTGTTGCAGACCTTGGTGACTTTATACAAGTGTTATGTTGTTGTTTTTTATTTTATTTTATCAAATATTAAACATTTTAAAATAATTTGACTGTAGATGGTGTTTTATTTTCAATTAGTACAATGCCAGTAATAAATATATTTGTGGTTTTATCTATTGGATATTGACAGTTAAGGATATTTAAAGTTGGTTAAATGACAACTCTTGAGGAATATTGAATTATTATATTAATATTTTACTAAATTTGTAATATTTTGGGAATGTATCTTTCAATAACACCAACAAGTAATTTACTCTGAAACTGTTTTCTTTTCTTTTTTTCTAGCTGAGATGGGCAGCTCATAGAGTGGATTTGAGTTTGTTTTCGTTTTTTTTCAAGTATAAACTTTTAGCTCATAGTTCCGTCATATCTTGACCGATTTGAGATCTAATTACAGTTTTTGATTTAGAAGGTCAAACCTTTTCAAATGATGAACTTGACCCATGTCCAAGGTCTCATAGATTAATTTACCCTAATCCTGTCTAAAAGAATTTCAATTTGAGGGTAGGCTGGTAGAGATCCCGATCAGTAATAAAATCAAATCGGGTATACGCATGTCCCATGCTTGGTATCGCTGTTGCACAAAAATATAACTAATAAAAAGGGAAACAAAGGTCTCATAAATTAATTTATTCTAATCCTGCCTAAAAGATTTTCAAATGCCATGGCTACTGAGGGTTCCCTCATGTTTTTAAACAAGTTTATTTGTATATTATAATTATTTTAGTATAATTGCATTAAATGAGTCTTTATCCCTGTATATTAACTGTACAGTAAAGCTTGAAACTCAATTGAAAGCTAAAACATGATCTTTTTTCAATTCTTGATTGGTGTTATTATTACGCAAGTTTCCAATGTGCTTTTAATGTTAGTTGTAAGTGTGAAATTTAGAAATGGAAAATGATTAACTTGAAACTAGCAAGTAGACTCGGCCCTGTAAGAACAACATAAAAATATCCAAACCATATTTTATAATAAGATCTTGATTTCACACACACATTTTTTGATACAGTGAAAAAGTGAAAGAATTCCTGGATTTGCGAGGAAGTAAGTGGGCATATAACAGAGCAGAATCTCTCAGTGGACATATAGTGACTTTACAAACTCTCAAAGAACTTGGAGAGAATGCCAGCTTCTTTGGGAACATTCTCTACTCGGGTAAGTAAAGTATCATCTTGGACACTGAACTTATATTATTCAAAGAACTTGGAGAGAATGCCAGCTTCTTGGGAACATTCTCTACTCGGGTAAGTAAAGTATCATCCTGGACACTGAACTTATATT